ATAGTCAGGTAGGTACCTAGGTTTAGCTGGTTTTCTCATCGAGTGTTTCGCAAGAAACAGTAGAAGTGGTGATCGCAAATGCCGGCAATTGAAAGGAATTTCAACCCATCTCACATCTCGTAAGCGCTGGAAGCAATCGGTGGACTGGTCCAGAACGATGAGCCTCGAGGAAGACTCATTCCTACTCTGGTATTACCCCTCAATGCAAAGTCACACAAATAGATGTGCAATTTGTATCCCACACACCTACTCCCAAGGCGCAGCCTCTTCTCGGAAGAGGCGTGTTGGTGATATAGTCGAACTATATGAATGGTCTAGCGCCCGCGTCAGCATATGGGAGACCCAATAGGGGACGTTGTATACCCATCCAGCCTATCCTGACAGCCCCCAACATGCATATAATATAGCGACCTTACCCAGTTAGGTGACTATAACATTCACAGGGTGCGTCTCAAAGTAACCTCCCCTCGGCTTTTCAGATACGTACGAACCTCTCAGCGTTCGTTTGTGACACCGCCATTAATAGATCGTCTGATCCTAGCTGGCTAGGTGCTACCTATGCGCATCTCGATCATGAGCTATGCATATAAAGAACGTGCATGATTGCTACATTGATCTTTGCACCGTTGGCGTGGCTGACAGCGGAGTTTGCAATCGCGATATACCAAAATTAATTCGGTCTCAGGGTCCATTGTCTGTTTGTGAGTGGCCGCGAAAATATAAGAGTAACGATATTGCTGAATATCGCAACATTCCGACGACAGAGTTGGAATCAAAATGTAATAGGCACGTATCCATGGGATCCGAAAAGAGCAGAGCTACAGGGCATTGGGCGCGCTGAAATGAATTGTGACTTGAGAATTACGAGTTAAAAAGATGGAGGGTATTTGCTTATTCTCGCTAAATTAACTCGTCGCGACTCCTCATAGGACAACGATGATAGTGGCTTGCGCTGTGGCGTTGCTACCCATCCGAATTCAGTCCGAATTGGCCAATATCAAAATCAAGATAATGATCGTCGGCTAAGCTTGACGGAATATCCATGATATTTAGAGTCATAATTATCCCTATATCCCTAGAAAGACTCTTGATATCCCACGCTACTTCTTGACGACGTACATAATAAGAATCGGGCTCATCTCTCGGCAAGGGGGACAATAGTCGCTTCGACGGAATCCCGCAATAGCCTTAGGTGAGGTGAATTCATCTAATGTCGGCTTGCCCGCCTAGCCTACCTATTCCCACTCCGATGCTCTGCAGGTGGCCGACAGAACCCACTACGCTGATTGGATTGCCGCAAACGCCTCAGCGCTTGAGTCCGTGTTAATCTTGCGGAGGAATCCTCATCGATGTCCATCATCCGAAAGTCCAAATCACTTCAAGCCCGAATATGGCTGGATAAAGACGTCATACTGTTGAATTGATTTGCGCCCTATGTATCATGGATGTATGAAAACACATACCCAACATCTTGGATCGGTTTTCGTTTATTCAACAGGGGCCGCGTGAGCCCGCTAACCCGGTTTTCTAACCAGGCAGTGCCTCCTGGTTTTGACCCCACAGCGAAGGATCAATATGGAATCGCATTCGTTTCGAAGCTTCGGCCGGGAAATTGATTGCCGCGTTGGCTAGATCTATGTTCGAAACCTAGGATCTAGGTAGGCAAGCCAGCTTTCAGTCGTTTCGCCAAGGTCAAGTCCTTCCAGTGCGCAAACATTTGTTCGCGTTTCAATCTATTTGAGACATTAACCTCGTGATCAAACGAAAGGTTCGAGAACATCCTGGGAATGTTCAAATGCCATCGTAACCGACCATCGACTCTAATTTCCATGTCGCCAATATTCTCATATAATATCTTTCCATATTTAATCGTCGATACACCAAGGTTAAGCACCCGCAGGAGCAGCGCTCTGACAAAATGGGCTAAGTACTCCGCAGCAACGAGACCCTCGTCCTGATCAGGTGTCCAGTCGCTCCCGCTATTTGTAGATGAGGCCATATCTTCAACTTCTTTAAAGTATTGGATGAAGGACGCAAGAGGCAAAATGTTCTTTTCGGTAGCTGGCGAGAAGTCTAATATGAGATTTCGAACCGTGAAAGTGCCGCTATCGTTGTCCCTATCCGAAACCATTGGACCATTTCGGAGGAACCCCGCCAGAAGATGATAAAACGACCAGACGACTGGTGGCGGTCCCGGCCTATCCGAGCGATATGGGTCGTCTGCGATATGCGATCGCAAGTGCTCGGGAACGTCAAAGATCCGAAATTGTACGTATACACTCCCCAGTATTCGCTGAAGCCTCGGTACTGATAACCAGGTCGGCCACAGAGTTCCGTCTTTCAAGAAAGCGACATCGATAGCATAGTCCGGTGATTCGCTCATCCGCCGCAGCACTTCTTGCACTTCGCGATTGACTTGACGATTGACTAGCAGTAACGAAAGCATTGGGTTCTGGCATGACGGCCGCTCAAACCAGACGCGATCCCCAGCCAAGGGCGACAAGGAATAGCTCTGTCGCTCACATGTTCTGCGGTATTCTCGGTGGTACGTCGACAGCCCTGGCGCCGAGCGCGTATTGAGGCAAACCAGAGAGAAGATTTGGTCTCGCAGCTCTTGGGGGAGATCGAGCAACATCGTTCAGGTGGGTTGCGATGTGTGCTAGGTAGAGAATTGAAAATATCCCGACTATTCAACTCTTTAAAAGCAGACCGATGTTTCAAACCGACATTAGATGATACACGTCTTATTAGGGGTGAAATCCGGGCTAGTGCAGGCTGTTCGTCTTTACCGGAATCATATTGGGGTATAGTCTAGGCTCCCACATTGGGACCCGGTCGGCGTCAAGGACTATTTGCCAAAACACGATTCGGCGCCGCAAAATGAGGCTCACTACAGATGAGATGAAGCAGATCATTTCGAACAAGTAACGGATCGGGTCGGTTCCGACGCTTATCGATCGCATTGTCAATAGTAATAATTCGTAGATACATTTCTCCGTCGATTATTGGATTACCCATTGGCTCCGAATGTTTTCCTGGTGCCTGGAGGTGATCACCTCAGCATCCAGCATCCAGCATCCAGCATCCGTATGCACAGAAATGCATGTTTCCTCAGCGAGATATCCCATGCGTGCCGTGTCAGCATCCGACAAAAAATCCCGGCGAGGCACATCGATACGGTTCCAACAGTTATTAGTGCCTAACGGTACATGGATAATGTGAGATGTTGCTGTCAGGTTGTAGTGATTAGGATGACTTCAATACAGCAACTATTAGATCGCTTAATTTGCCCAGCAAACGATGGTATACCCCGCCATATGATATACGGTTGCGGCAGCTTGGTCCATGGATGTCGATATGTCGTACACGACGTAGTGGGCCAAGAAGCCGACCCGCGTCATCGTTCGGTTTCGCATAGGGAAAAAATTGCGAGAAATCCATATCCGACCAGATTGCTAGATCAAATGAAGATGTTGCCTGGGAGTATTTGAAAATGACGCCCTGACTGCGTAATTCGCATAACTTTCAATCTTGATAATACGACGACATAGCCACATAGCCACCTGGGCAATATTCCCCTGGCATTTAGAGGGTTGCTTAGTGGACTTCTCTTTACGACGATGAAATCGATGAAGGCCAATATCCGAGCATTTATCTCTCACCGAGGTCCCAGCTGGTCCCAGCAGCCGCGTCACAGCTTTCTAGGATCCTTTCATGTTTTGTTGCTTTGTTTGGTGAGATCTTTCGGGTGAGCTAGGTCTACCAGGTAAGAATTACGACCTGTCATTTTTTATTGAGGAAGGATTAGATGCTGATGCTCATGTCATCGTAATTGTACAACCCCGATTAAAATTCCGAAATCCAAAATCCAAATGCTAAAGTGCGGAAGAGGGATAGCTGCATATCCTTTAACGTGATAGAACCCCGCCATCTTTCGATTACACCATGACTTAGGTAAGGACTGAGGTAATAAGCTTATTTTTTGGAAGAACTTGGGAGTCTTCACAGTTTTCACTTTTAGTCCCTCCTCCTTCTAACTTTGAACTCTTCAATGTCCAAAATATTTGCCACGCACCTCACTTGAACCCTTTTCGGAAATCGGAAATGACCACACCAATCGCAATACCGGTCAGGCATTTATCATACTATTGACCTATGTGAAATGTCTTAGAGTCGCAGATGCTTGAAGAATGCCGGTCATGCTCTTGTCGACCGCATGAGCGTCGGGTAGTGGTACATAGTATATTATTACATGTTACATTGATGGTAAGAAAATTCTCTGCACTTCAAAAAGACCCTGTTGTATCACCTGAATTTTGCACTCCCGACTCACCAGCATGATGAACGCTGTTTGGCCTGCTTTGGCTGATTATACGATGACACCCAAACATTAAATTTCACAGTCTGACTGGTTCATACCCTATTTACACCTGTTTTCACTTTTTACTAGATGTTGACATCGCTAACATTAAGTGAAGAGAATGCCTACCTACCCACTAGGTACTCAGATATTTTAGTCCCGATTGTCCCAATTGTACTAGTAGCTGCAACTTCCGATCGATGTCCGAACGTCGCTCATCGTGGGCACCGCCATCGTAAAGCTTTTCCTTGGATTGCCTACCTAGTACCTAGGACCTAGGTACCTAGTAATATTTATCAGTCGTGCATCTTATCTGTTCAATCTTTGAGAAAGCTAAGAACCTTGCAGTCATATTTCGTAGCATTTACTTCAATAAATTAATTCTAGAATTTCTCTATGGCAAATAAGCAAAAATGATATTCCTAGACACATTCAATAATATCCTGAACATAGTCAGACTCGACTGTGAATCCACAAAACTTGGGTGCTTGGACCGCGCAACGCTAATGCCCCCGCAGCCCCAAATATTTCATTGGTCAAAGTCCGCAAAGTTTTCAATAGGCTATATTAATTCCATTATCGAGCCAACCCATCATCAGCCGAGTATGGCATGCGACCAGAAATGGCGCCATGACTTAGTGGCACAGTGGCGGAGTGGTCTAACGCGTGTGACTCGAATTGGGAATCGTTCAAATTCGATATAAAGTCGAATAGATTTCCAGAGTTCATCACATCTCTTCGGAGGCGCCCGTTCGAATCGGGCCTGTGTCGATTTCGTTTTTTGTTTTTATTTTATTTTGTTCAGATTTAATTGTCCATTCATTTCATACTCGATCGGCAACCCTGAATAAACAAACCTAACTCAACTTTTTGTGTTCTCACTTTAGTTGGTATATCGTATCATATTACCCCAATCTTTCTGTGTCACGTTTCTCCAATATTCTATCGCGTAAAAAGTGTAAAATGAAAAAACCACACCTCATCACTGATATCGGCCAAAGACTTCCGACAGACACGCCAAAATAATCATCTCGTCGACGAACCCACCGCCCGGAAATGATTACCGACTATTCCAACGCTAGAAAATCTTACATATTCGTCTTGATATGCCGGAACCTGTCAGTCTTGACAGGTGGAGTAGAGATGTGAAGAGCCCCAGAACTCAATTGAAGTGACTGCGGTAATATTTAGCGCCTACTCGCTAAACGAGGCAACGAGACAACAAAACAATGGCTCTTAGTTCACTATTGCAGTAAACGCTGATTCCGACAGAACCATATTATCTTTCAATACACACCTAGATAAATCATACCTACCTAGGTACCTATAATAAGTAACTAACACCTATTCGAATCATTCGACCAGAATATGTCCACGACCACGAATACGCGCGACGAGTTACGTGATGTTCAGGGGAAACAACTTGACTCGATTCTCACTGGGGGAAAAATCCGATCCGCCCTAAAATTTCACAACTTCCTAAATGATACCGCACTCGGTCCTAATATCTATCTCGGGTTGTTCCGATCGTCTTCAACTCCGACGGTTTCTGAGACTAAAACGACTTAGTTTCCAAGGCGTACTACGTAACCCATCGCAGATGGATATATGCGGGTGAAGTTCCCGGACAAGCGATCTTATGCATTGCGAGGTAGTATCGTGATTTTAGCATCGGTGGCATGTATGGAACGTAGAAAACAGTCTTAGCGCGTCGACCGTGCGCTTGATGTCGTTGATCTACGCCGGGATCACGAGAAACCGCTCCGTCGCCGTTCTTAATACGTTAGGTGATTCAATCTCGAGGGCTATGCCAGCATATCATTCGACGTCCACGCGAGCACGAAACCTTTCTAGGGGCGTAGGTAAAATTACGGCACGGGCACGAGTCTAGTAATATTGATGTACTAGATGGTCGGAGCTGTAAAGGGCAGTCATGAAAATCCGTTTCAAGGTGTCAGGTAGCTATCCCAACTGCACACCATTGTCTGATTCCTGTATCATCTTTATTACTTAGGCCGAGACTATATGTGGATACTCCCGACCTTCTAGAATGTGATCCAAGAGTTTCTCTCATCTCATATGAACATTTCAGCTTCTAAAAGACGAAAGTTAGTAAAAAGAAGAAAAGTTCGAAGCACAATTCAAAACATACCTCCCTGGGCAATAACAAAACTTCAGTATAACCTTCAGCATTACTACCCCCAGATTATTGGTGAGCAAGTTGAAATCTTTCCCTTGTATTCTCTCTATACTTAACTTAGGTAGGCGTACATTACTAGGTATACGTACTAGTGTTATTCGGCATAGGACCCGACGTCTTGGATGAAGGATCTTTGAAGCGGACCGTGCGGCCAAGATAACTTCGTTTGGAACTATTGACGCAGCTAAACAATGTCGTCACTCAGCTGAGAACAAGCATTTTTCACTATCTTCGTAGCGCTACCTATTCTCTAGTCTGTAGATTCCCGTCCGTAGTACACCAGAAGCCAAGATAGCCGTGATAGAAGGCGTATCTGTCCATTTTTCAGTAGGCACGTGGTAAAACATCCATATGGATAGGTGACTCCGCCATATGTCCTATACGGCTGTAAACTAGATTATGAGCTTAAACTTCTTGTAATTCTATATTCACCCTAATGAATATACACGCCCATAGTAGGGGTTCAATAATCATTAGGGAGGAGGGTATCAGCAGATATTCCTTTTTTTTCATCCAAGCAACCATCCCCTAACGCCATCTTCCATTATATATACATCATACCCTAATAGTCAAATAGCTCATAATGAACCGTTGCTAGATATCTTAGAGTGTGTTGTACGGTCGTCAAAGGTGCGACTCAACGTCGCCACCGAACGGCTGTCCGTAGTCGAGACAGTAAACTGTGTCGTGCGCATTATACCCGTGCCGGTAAGAATTTCCTCATCCGAGTCTCGTGATGATCGAACTTCAGTGTGTACTCGCCTGCCGCTCATGTCCTTCAACCCTATCCCGCTCTCCGGTCCATCTGTGGTCCTTATATAACCTTGTCCTGCGTGTGACGAGACGCCATATTTATGTTGCCCGTAATAAGATTGGTTGTTAGTCGACTTGAGGCCCGGGACCCAACGGCGGACGAGAGGCCATAAAGCGGGAGCCGACGCCGTTAGGATAGCCAGGTTACACTCGATAGAGGATACACAGAAGCCGACAGAGAAATTCTTATCAGGGCTCGTGTCGTTGAAATTCTGAGCGAGGAAATAAAGGCGGACGATGCTGACCACCGTAACACTTTTAAAACTTCTATTAGTGTCTAATTCGCAGATCAAATAGAAAATAGGGGTTTCTTACAGTACGCCCAGCATGAAAACGCCGATCAAGGCAATTTTCCTATTCCTCTTTATTTGCAAACTGAGGAAAATGTAAAACGGGAGCGCTACGGCGACAACGTCGGTCATAATCGTTAAAGAAGCAGCCGCCACACCAAATTTGAACTGTTCGATACAATGACCCGGAACTAATGGATGCCAATTCATCTCGATGGGGATGCATTGGAAAATGACGGCGATGAAAATGGCAACCATAAGCAGGTTGTTGAAGACAATTGTGCCCCAAACAACGTATCGAACCCCGGACTTGACACCCGAGAAACGGAGAAGGAAGACGAGGACAGACTGCTTCACCAATGTCAAGATTGGCTGATAGACGGCCCCGACCACGTAAATCCAGATCAATCCCTCTGTAGGATCAAAAGGAGTAGGGACATCGTAATAATGAATCCCTATGAAGAGTGCTTTCATAACTACGATTCGTTAGATGCGATGCAATATTTCTGAATGGTGAAATTCAAATACCTTTAATTGAGCCAACTGCCAGAGCAATGCTCAAGACCATCGCAGAAATGATCAAGCCATCATCTTCATACAATTTTCGTCAGTCCTACACCTCAAAGGTAAAGCCTATGAATTTTTAACCTACCCCAACCGAAGCTCTTTGTGTCGAGCCTAATATACGTCCTCAAGACGACAACTATAAGCGCAAGTGCCGGACATACAACCTCTATGGCTATACCCAAATTTTGAAGCCAGCTTGTTGGGTTAGGATTCGACGCTGTTGTGGTGGCCGACATGGTGACTGATCGTTAGAGCATCTATGCGGCGACTACACAGATAAGCTCAAGATCGCAACGGGGATAAGTCGACTCAAGGAGAGAAGATCGTCGTCAAAATTGCGATGGGTAGTTCCGTTCATATATGTTCCGGCGGGAGACTAACAGCGGTTCATAGATCTAGGTAAGTAGGTAGGTAACGTCTAAGTAACCGGCCAGCGTTGCAACATTACCCAGGATAAATGAAGTCTTGATAACTTCTCCAACTGGTAACTGATGAACCATCTACATGATATGCCACATTTTCGAACGACTTAGCTGCATACCATGATCAACATCAAGGAAAACCGAACCGCGGATCCTTTCATGCCCTAACTACTACGTTATACTATAGAAGCTTGCCATTACGTACATGGATTCCCCAGTCTCAATCCCAATCTAGACATCCAGGACCTAAACCCAAAACTGGATATTCTTCCAGACTTGGCAGACTACACTCCGCCGGTCGAAACTTGCGTAGACTAGGTAGAAATTTTACATTATGGTATTAGGGGCACGTATTATCCACGACTTCACCTTCGCCTCTGAACTGAATTTCCCATCGCCAAATAACTACTTTAAGCGAAGTCACATCGTCTCGTGTTCTTCAGTGCTTCTTATCTTCGCTCGGATGTTTTCCGTGAATTAGGCGGAGTTACCAGTACAAAATTTGTATTTCCCTACCAGGTAGGCGCATAGTGTATTCGGCGCTCTACAAGTTACACTATGTGTGTAACAGGGGTATATCCCCCTTAGTACACCCTTAGTACAATGGTCCGTCAACTTCAGTTGGGTCTACAACGACTTTAAAGTCTTTTAGACACTTTGAAGCCTCCTAGCGTACCCAGAATTTATGCGAGCAAGCTATCAAAGTTTCTATCCTTATTTTGACATAACACCGGCTCGTCACAAGTTAGATGTTGGTGCACCTGAATGCGCACCACGTTTTCCCCCCATTTTCTTACTTCTATGCCCTTTTGGTCCATGGTTGGCGCTCCCCTTTAACTGCCCCGGGAATTTTTTTCTTTCTTGTTTCTATGGGTCTATCGGATGCTTGGTTCCTAGCAGGCGAGCATACCTACCTAGGTAGGTAGACATGTGCAGACTGTCACCTTCGGTACGTGGCCTCCCCTCTTATACTACCTTTATATGCTACGTCGTACTATACTATACGTATTAGATTCATGAAGATCGTCTCAGCAGTTATAAGGCTAAGTAGGTATGTAGATCATCTCCAAGTAGTCGATAGCCCGCATGTGGTTACGTTTGTAGTCGCTTCTTCAATACGGCCCCCGCCCCGGTTCCCCCCTAACGATTCTTGCGATTATACTAGGGCGAGAGATTTGATTCATCACGAAACTTGTAGCATGAAATTCAAACTTGTTTATAACTCTCGCTAACATAAACTAAAGACGGCTCTGAATACATATCAAGACTTGGCCTCTGTAAACCCGCCGTGTTGGCGCAAGGCCGGTTAAACTCGACCCCTGACTAGCTAATACCGATTTTGACACAACAAGCGGGGACAGATACCACGTTGGGGCAATGCATCAGTCTGGTTAGGTAGCTTCATAGGGACGCGTACCTTGCGTAAATTATTACATGCGTCTTGGGGAGACCACTCCCACATTTCCGTGTTCCGGAACA